ACATCCAAACGAGTCCTTACAAATTACTATGCAGATTGTATTGAGCATCGAAGTAGGGGCCAAAACAATATTATTTGATAAAGCCTTTTTTTTTTTTTTTTTAATGGAATCAAATAGTATTTTATTTTAAACCCCTTTTATTCTCTGCCTAATTAATTTGCCTTCATAAACAGAAAAGGGGTGAGGCAGGCTGGCTAAAGGATATTGAAATAGGAATTATGTAAGTAAGTGAATAAATCATGTTATGGGAATTAAATAAGAAGAGAGATTAGAATATTGAAAATGGTCTAAATGCATTTGAATTCAACTCAGTGCCAACTCACTTTTCTTCTTATAAAAACCCAACCATCAACTAATTCCCACTTTGCTACTNCGGTGGGAAAGTGCGACCAAATTACGTCTCAACTCTCGACTCTTCCTTTTTGTGCCTTTTCCTTGCCCGTGTTAGCAATATTATATCCTTTTCTTGGGTTAATTCTTCTCAGTTGGGCTTTTCCCAACCTGTGTGAGCTAATTTCCTTGGCCCAATTACAACATGTAGACGGTCTTCTGTCTTGATAACAAAGTGAAAAACCCCCATGGGCTAATATTCGGGCCATTATGGAAGCCCACGAAATTATTTGATGAGCCACTCATATTTTATGAGTGAACATATAGACGGTCTTCTGTCTTTCCGTAATAAATGACTTATTCTTCGTAAGAAGAGTAAACGACTTTTTCACACCCAAGGTTTGCCTTAATACCACTTTCCACCCTAAAAGTTTTAAAATACCACTTTCTTACCCAAAGTTTATATTCCGTTTACTGCCCATAATACACTTTCGGATTTGGAAGCCAATGGAGAGCAAACTCGGTTTAGACTATAGTGGATTTTGGAGAGAAGATGTCAGTGAGTTTTTTAGTGGTAGCAAGTTGGATTTTGGTAGTTGGGATTGGTGACTTAGAAGGAATGGTTGTGCATTTCACAAATTGCTTGATTGCCGGCGATTGCCAGGGTCGACAGGAGCAAGGTTTAAGGGGGTTTAGTGAGTGATGATTAAGGAAAAGAATGGTGGTGATTTAGGGTTATAAAAATGTCAGAATCGGTCGACGATTGGTTGGAATAGAAACTTTGGGGTGAAAATTTGTATTTTAAAACTTTTTTTGTGGAAAAGTTCAGTAAGGCAAACCTTCGGTGGGAAAAAGTAGTTTACTCTCATAAGAAAGGTCTAAATTAACGTGTCGGTCAAATCTAAAAGCCTAATTAATTAGGTATTGGTTTCATTCTTGTTTGAAACTGCATCCAACAAATTTAATGCTTGACTTTGATGTCAACATAACGACATAAATTTGTTCATCAATATTTATATGAAAAGTAACTTTGCCATGTTCCTATAGTTTGGCACCTAATATCTGCAGCTTTGAAAGAGTCGGTGGCGCTAAATCATGATTAGGGACTTGAAAATTTCCATAGAACCATTAACATTATTCGGCTTAAATAATATAGATTTGCAAGGCCTTATTTTTCACCCAATAAAACCTTATTAAATGGGAAGTTTATCCTATTTTATAACCCAGTAAGCTTGAGCATACCTAATTGGTGTGAGACTTCAACATTCCCTTTCACGGTCAAGCTCATATGTTGGGTCATGTCTGTTGATAAAGATAGTTTTTTGCTCTAATTCCTCACTAGGGGTGTTCTGTTCCGGGTACCCTGCATCTTTTGAAGAAACCGAAACCGACGGTTCCTTGAAATTTGAAACCAGAATCGAAACTAACTATTCCGATTCCTAAGTACTCAGAACCGGAACCTGTAATAGCGGTTTCGATTCCCTTTCTGGGTACCTTGTTAAATTCATGACCCCCAAAAAGTTTTTAAAATGGCAAAAAAACCCAAAACTTACAAATACCCCCCCAGCCTGGAACTTGTTAACAAAAATAAAATTACAAATTATAAATTCAAAATGACAAACTCCATTACTTTGTAAATATAGATTCTCAAAAGTCAAACCAACTTACTTTAAATGTTATGAAATATAAATATAAATGTATTCACATTACTTTTTCTATAAAAGTTTTTATTAACTCCCTACTCTTTTATTTTATTTTATATTAGTCTCGGTTCTCGATTCTCGTTTCAGGTTGGTTCCGGTTCCCGTTCCCGTTCCTAACTATAAGAACAAGAACCAAAACCGCACAGTAACGGTTCAAAAAATTTGGAACCGGAACCTACACGTTGATGGCTGGTTTCGGGTAGGAACCGGAACCAAACCCCGAGTACCCGCCAGTTCCGGTTCCAATCGGTTCTTTTGAACACCCATATTTCTCACCCGTTGGTCAAACTTTCAACTCTATTGAACATGAGCTCTGATATCATGATAGAATTTGAGATGAATCTGACTCCTCATCCAATAAGACTTTGTTGAATATGAGGATTATTGGGTCATACTTGTTGATGAAGGTAATTGTCGGCTCTAACTCCTCACCCGCTGATCAAACACTCAACCTAATTAAACTTGGACTCTGATACCATGATAGAATTTGAGGTGGGCTTGAATCCTCACCCAATAAGATCTTATTCAAAGAAAAGACTACATCCTCTTATAACCTAATAGGCTTGAGCTTGTCTAGTCGGTTTGGGACTCCAATAACCAGTAGTGGCTTCCATATTCACAAAGTCGTCAGATCTCATTTTCCCTGACCCACAAAGATTTCTGGAAATAATAGTCTAATCCAACTAGACTTTAAGTCTTCATTGAGCCCAACCTCAAAACAACCACTGCTACTTCTTCATCACATCACCCAACGTGACGACCTGAAATTTATTATTATATATATAAACATCTTTCAATTTAGATACGATTAGTTTAACTAATCTTACTAGGTTTTCTCTCTTTTTTTCTACAAGAAAGAAACAACTTTTAAACTCAAATCCGTACAACATGATTGACCCATTTTAAAACCACAAGAGATGGCATTATTTTAAAAATACAGTTAAGGCTCTTTTTTATGGATTTAGAGTTTAGACAGGTAATTAAAATCATATGGTTCATTACCATACTCAATTAAATCAAGCACAGTGATAATAATATTTTTTTTCTGGAGGGCAATAAAGTAAAAAAACGTTTTCCTCCTTTTTACGAAAATATAATATTTATCTCACAAATTTAAAATAGTCAAATATAGTGGATGAAAACGAAGCAAAATTTAGCCTTTATTTTCAACACTGGCTGTCAAATATCTACCTTCACCAATGACATGTCAACAGTTGACACCCCCACGTGTTGTTTTCGATAATCACTTATAAATATTTATCATACCATCATAGGGTTATTTCTGTAAATAGACTTAAAAATTCAGAGCAAGTAGAAAACGATGTCGTTTTGCAACCCAGGGTTTTGATATTTTAACTACAGTTAGGTAACCATGGTTGGATTTCTCTCACCAAATCAAACTTCTTTCTTTTATAAACCTCACCCGCTCTCAAAACCACACAAGAGAGAGAAATCAAAACGAGAACAACAAGAAGAACAAAAACACAAGCACAAAAGTTACAGACACGTTAAACGATTTAACTCAACTCAAAGCTTAAACAAAAAAAAATGGCAGCGGTGGGTTACTTGGACGAGGAGGAAGTCTGGAAATGTCAAAAACACCCTTCTAAACGTCACCGTTCTGGAGTCTGTCCGACCTGTCTCCATGACCGTCTCTCTTCTCTCTGTCCTGACTGCGCTAACGTCCGTCCCTGTGCTTGCAGCGCTGCCACCACGTCGTCATCGTCGTCTTCTTCATCGTCCTTTTCTCGGTTTTCAGTATCTGGAGGTGAGAATTTTTCTGCCGGGATTGGAACCGTCGGCCGTGTCAGCAATTTGATTGAGAGTGAACCAGCGTTTCGGAGATCAAGATCCGTGGCGGCGCCCTTTCTCCGGTCAAAGTCAAAGTACGTTGAAAATTTAGATTTCATGGGAAATGGAGTTAATAATAACGAAAGTAGAAGCAAGACGCCAACGTTGTCGTTTTGGTGGTGGTTGAAGGGAGGGAATAAAAATAGTAAAAGCAAGAGAGGTGGAGACGTGGAAGAAGAGAGAAGCGTGATGATGAAGAAATCGAGATCGGTGGCTGTTAGCACGACGTCGGATTATGGGAAGTCGAAAGGGGCAAAATGGTACTTTCCCAGCCCGATTAAAGCTTTCAGACAATCAAGGCTGTCTAAGGTGGTGGTGCAAGAACGCTCGCCTATGTACAGAGGTTGATTGCTCTTTTTTTTTNAAAAAGGAAGAGGGCATTTTCCTTTCTCAAAATCCATAAGTCCGAATTGATGGGGGCCCACGTGGGAGGAACAAGCCATGTGGAAAGGAAGGATGTCCCAGCGTACACGTGACGATGTCGTTTTCCAATTTGGTCGCACGTAACACTTTTTGGTCTCACCAATCAAACATCTTGTTTTCTTTAATAGGGACTTGTGTTTATGCAACAGACATACGCACACGCACGCTTGAACTCATTCGCACGCCCACTCCTCCTTTTTTTTATATATATATATATATATATATATATTTATTTACGTGTTTTAAGGTTACCTCATTTTTAGAACAAAATTATTTTTTAATTTTTGGGATTACAAACTTGTATTTTAAAATATAAATATCTTTTATCATTGTATTTAAATAAGATTAAAAAGGAGTTAATGATGATGCGTCACCAGATGTACAATCATTATAGTCTTGGCGACGTCGTATTCCAGAAATTATCCCAGTGTCTGGCTTACTGCATTTTATGTTTCCTAAAAGCGATTATGAATTTACGAATGTGACACTGTGAAATTTATATTTAAAAATTATTTTTAATTACATCTCTTCTTCCGCAAACCATTCACTAAATTATTTGCTCTTTCTGATGGCTCAGTTTTATCATTGTACCATTACTATTACCCAAATGGGCCTGAAAGATGGGCTACAAAACAGCACTGCCCACAGACTGTAAGTCCAATCCAGAGTCCAGACCCACTTTTATATCTAGGCGATTCATTCTCATCCACTCTCCAGTCTCCACCACAAATTTCATTCTGTCCAGCCATGAGCACAAATCAGGATTCCAATTCCAAACAAACCCTAATCTTCTCCTACGGCACGCTCAAGCGAGGCTTTTCCAACCATTATCTCATGCAGGAACTGATAAACAAAAACGTTGCCGTTTTTCTCGGTCCCCACATCACCACCCATCCTTACCCGCTTGTCTGCGGTCCTTACAACATTCCTTATCTCATCCACCTCTCAGGGTCAGGCAATCGAGTCAAGGGCGAGCTGTACTCAGTGTCGACGCAGGGACTCGCTCGACTCGACGAGTTCGAGGGCACGAAGTTTGGTCATTATGATAGGCTCCCAGTTCAAGTCCAGAGTGAAGAGGATGAGGGTGAGGGTTTGGTGGAGGCAGAAGCGTATTTTGCGAATAAGAGTTTTGCAGAGAGATTGTGGGAGAAGAAAGGGAAATTGGGGTGGAATGAATATAGGGAGACAGACGGGAAACAGTATGTGATGCCAGGCGATAGGGCTAAGGATAGTTGTATTCTTGATGATATCGAGCTGTTTTTGTCTTCTATCCAATAATTTATTGTAATATGCTGTGAGTTCTGCTTGGAGCATCTTCGAAGACTCTTGTGATATGATGTAAAATTTTTATTATAAAAAGTTGATTAATGAAATCAAGAGTTTTTTTAATCTTTTAAATATAAATTAGTATGTGGGTTTGACTTTCTAAGAATCAAATTTTACTTTTTTATTCTAATTTTAATTAATAATTTATAACTTTTCATACATTTTATTTTTTAATTATCTTTTCTATTAAATCTTTTTTTTAAAAATAAAAAATATCTTCATTAAATTTAAAAAATCTATTAGATTTTTAAAAAAAAAATTTCTTTATATTAAAACTTAATAAAGATACTCTTTATTTATATGGAATATGTTCTTTAAAATAAAGAGTACTATTGGAGACGCTCTTACAGTTCAGAAATGAAATAATATTTTATATAGTTAAAAATAGAGTACACTACTTTTTACTACCTAAATAATGGTTTAATGACACTTTTTTCACTCATATACTTTTAAAATACAATTTTATTATCTAAATTTATATTCTATCTCCGATTTCGTCATCGTTACAACCCTACACCACCACCATTCTCTTTCTTGACATCATTCACCAAAACCTCTCAAATCTACTTGCATTGACCTCGCCAATCATCAGTAATCAAGCAATAAGGGTTTGCACAGCCGCCCCTCCCAAATCAAATTCTGATTAATCTTAACTATCAAAATCCAATCTTCCACCACTAAAAGACTCATCGGCCTCCCCTCTTCAAAAGCCTAATGGTCTGGATTGAGTTTACTCTCTGTTGATTGCTAAAATATAAATTTAGATAATAAAGTGATATTTTAAAAGTCTATAGATGAAAAAGTATTATTAAACCATTATTTGGATAGAAAAAAATTGTTAACTCTTAAAAATATGCTTATATTATGTCCAAATACCTCTTTATGAGTCATTTCCAATCTGGGCTCAAGGCCCACTAATGTCATACAGGCTTGGGCAATCATGCAGGCCTTGCATGTCCAGTGATGTATGAGAGGTCGAAAGTCAGACATAAGGAACTTTTTTTTTCCTTTAATTAATTGGCTTAAAATATTACCTAAATTCAATAACAATGATTTTATTTTTTTAATTTTATTCCCTCTAGTAAATATCTAGCAGGATAATAAATGTAGAAGTGGGTCCTTCAATTTCATGTTGAAGTTCTAGAAAATTGATGAAGTAGTGATTGAATTTGAGGAGCCAAAGAAAATACGATATTGTAAAATAATTAAGGGTGCGTTTATTTTGTTATTTTGGATAGGATTTTGAGAATAATATTGGGTAGTTGAATAGGGTGAATATTACAAGGTAAAATTTAAAAATTAACAAAAAAAATCCCATAGGTTTGCTAATTTAACTAAACACCTGAATATATAAAAATATTGTAAAATGACAAAAACACCCCCCTCACCCACAATGCCAGATTTTGGCCACCACCATCGGAATCTGGCCAAAAAATGACGTTACGACGCAGGCTGGTCGGACTGACTGATCGTGCGTCGATATGGCATTTTCCGGCTAGATCCACCACGGATCTGGCTGGAAAAAGCCAGATCTAGCCGTCGACGGCCGCAAAAGGCTAGATTTGGCTATCAGCGAAGGCCAGATCCACTATGGATCTGACCAGAAAGTGCCAGATCAATGAATTACCAGCCAATTTTGGTCATTTTTACGCCGTTGTGACAGATTCCGGCAATCGCCGACGGTGGTTACTGGAATCTGGCAACTATGGGTGGGTGGGGGTATTTTTGTTAACTTTTAAAAAAATTTTCTTGGGGTGTTTAATTAAATTAATAAATTTAAGGGATCTAAAAGTAGTTAAAAAATAGAATAATATTTCCCAAATAATTAAACAAACATGTATTTTAGGAATAGGATGTGGAATAGGATAGGGAATAATAAAACAAAGGCACCCTAAAATGTTTAGACGTCACAGATGATGTAGTATTAGGTAGAACAGAAATAGACTGAAGCAAGCGTTGAAACAAAGATCCACTAGGTAGGCAAGCAAAATGAGATGGGTTGGTCCCTCCCACTAGTTTATGGTAGAGTTCGATAAATGAAGGCGCTGTTGCATGTGATTTCCCACTAAGCTTGACTGGAAATACTGCAGTGAATACGATTCAATTTATAGACATTGTCATTTAATTTTGAGTCGTCGGATTAACTGCTTCCGATATTTAATCTTCAAGTGGCATGCAGCCACTTCATAGGTCACACTATATCTATCGGTGGATCTGATAAAGGAACTGAAGAAAGTGGATGATCTTCCACAGAACACTATCGTTGAAAATTACAAATCGATGATTGTTGTTTTCCTAATTTCTTGTGGGGGATACCACATTTGTTTTCCATTGGATTCTGCTTGGCTGAAAAGGTGAGTATGAGATGACAATGTCGAAAGTGATTCTCATAGGCCAAGCACCTGCGAAAGTATGAAAGTATTTCAACATGGTTGGCTGGTCGGCGCCACATCTGCAAAACCCTAATAAGAAAATCACATGGAGGGTCTCAAGTAGCAGGAACATTGAGAGTGGTGAAACTAGTATACCCACTTTAATGGTCCAAAGTTCCCTAACTTTGCTTCATTATCAAGATTAATGAATGACTTTAGAAAGTGTCTCACGTTCTCTTCTTCTTATGGCAATACAAACTCAGGGTCGGCATATTTAGAATTAGTTGATTCGAACTAGATCGAGATTCTAGGAGAAATGGAGAATGGTATAGTCGTGCTTGTAAAGATGAAGGGAAAAGACAGAGAACTGATGTTCGCAAATAGAGTTTGACAAAAATTATTGTTTGACTAGTTCAAACCCTAAAGATCCCAGCCCAAAAAGAATTTCTCACAGTTTAATTTATTCTTTCTTTGTGTAGCACACCCCCTTGTTTAATGCAATGAAATGAAATATAGAATTGTGATGTGATTAATAACATGATATGGAATATCTATATCATTAAATTTTATGTTCTATATTACGTATTTAGGAACAATATTTACTAGTTTTATATTAATTAAATTAATATTATTGACCTAATTATAATATTAAATTAAAGTTATACTTTTATCTCACAAATGAGTAATGCTACATACATTTGCCGTATCATCCATTTCAATTTATTTCATTTATCTCTAGTTTTAAATTATTCAATCAAATTATATTGTATATATATAGTAGTACTGCTTACNAAAAAAAAAAAAAAAATTAAGATCTGAACCTTTGTTTTTATATTAAAACTTTTTTTAGAGATTTAATATTGAGGAAAAAAAAAAACTCTTTTTATATTCTTTTATACAAACAATTAACAATTTTTTTCATTCAAATAATAAATTCTTTCTTCCATCCGAATTAACCGTAACCTATTATTTATATCCTTAACTTTAAACTGAATATCGTCCTTGAAGTTGTATTATTTGACACTAGCTACTTGATACAAACTTTGAAAATTTAATGAAGTGTAAATGGATGGATCGATATTTCAAGGCATGCCCCAGTTATCACTTGGCTTACGATTACAGGATATAATAATTATTTTATCCTTTATTTTTTGTTTGATTATATGATCCAATTGTGAGTATAATATTGTTCTACAAAATAAATAAATTAATTTGTAATGGATCCATCCTTATATTTATGTATATGAATGTAAGCTAATGAAGAGTATGACGTCCTTTCCATAATCAGCATTCATCACCACAGCAAAAGAGGATATTCTGTATACATGCATACTTTGTTTCCTAAATGGTTTGTAAATTAAGAATATAATGAATCAGGCGCAGCAGCCAACTTACTTCAGCCGCAATTTGATCAAGAGCCAATCGTTTTATTGCATGGTGGGCTTTACATTGATTTTTACATAAACAATTAAACTAATTAAGATATGTGCTAAGTTTATTTACGACTAAAATATCATTTATGTAGTACGTTTCATTTATTGTGGCCAAACATTGTTGTAAGACATGTCAAAACTGTAAGCCCCAAGAAGAAATCGAAACACATGTAGCTAATTTAAGTCTGTAGTTTTTATTTCAAAATTGAGATTGTAAGAGAGATAATTTAATAAAGTTGTATTATATTCGAGATATATCTTTAAGAGGGAAGAATTATACTTAATTAAACTGAATTATTTATATTAAATTGTTATAAATTGTATGTGAATAAACAACCTATTTATATAAAAGTGTGATAGTTATGTAAGCATATAAAATATTACAATAACAATGCAATCTCTACAATAAAGAAAATATAATAATATCTAAAACACAATAGGAAACTTTAATAGTATGTTTTTCAGTACACAAGTAAATGAACTTAACGGTATCTAAGAGGAAAAAAATCTAGTATATATGATGCAATTAAATAAACCTTAGTAAGTGCACTAGTTGTGTTCAAGTAATAAAATGATGAATTGAGCATCGTTCTATAGAGATCAAAGCAATTATTCATAATTACTTAAAGCTACCTAACGTTATTTGAGAAAACAAAAGTTTAGAGTGTAAAACTAATGGATTAAAAAATAACAAAATTAAACAAATAAATAATGTGAAGAACTTTGTTGTATTAATGAAGTTAGGGTACAAATTTTCCCCTAATTATGCTTGACAACTACTCTTAATACCCATTTGTGCTATGAATTGGTAGGATTCTTCTAAGGCCAATTATTCTTATTCAGGCATAATATTCAACTTAATACAGATCTCTGTTTGCTTACTCTGAAATTAAAAAGCATAAATTTATCAATTCCTTACGACTAATTCGCCTTATTCAGTTATGAATTAGATGACCACAAATTAATCCTAGAATCTCTATTTGATTACTTCTAGTTTTAATACGTTGTGCAATGTTATTCCAATAAAACAATTATGAATATGAATTAAACAATAAACCCTAACTTCTCTATTCGAAACATCATCAAGGTAATTGAATCAATCCAACATTCATAAAGCATTAAACCTAAACTCTTACACAAATTCATAAACAAAAATCTGGTATTAAGAATAAAATTTGTTCAAAACATAATTAGGGTTTCATCCTCCCCTAACAAAGAGATTTACTCCATCCCAAGAACAAAGAAAGAAATGAAGAAG